CCCGTGGAATGATCTTTAATCTTTTCGTAGATGGTTCTGAGGCAGGCACGTTTGCAACACCTTGTGCTGTCGCCGAGAAGCTGGTTCATGTCTTGGACGAGAATTCTTTCAAATCAGGCTGTTTCATGACCATGGATGAAACGTAAGAATATAAAGTAATGCACTCCCTTGCAAATTGTCAACTTTTTTTCAGAACTTTGAAGTTCAGTTTCGAATAGAAGGCTCTCTGGAGAACATCATCATTCCATTGTCAATGAGATTGTTTGTTTGTTGCCCGAATACAGTAGTTACTGAAGTAAAGGGTATACTTCGTTTTGCCGCTAAACGCGTGTCGGTTAAAGAACATTCTTCTTCTATCGCTCATTCGTTCGCTCTACATTTTTTTGCCTGTACATTTGCAATATCACCTGCTCACGGGGCACATCATTTTAATTCAGTTGGAATGATCAAAAATACAAGAATCTGATACATACTTTTATGCATTTGGTTTTTACTGTCCTAAGTTCATATTTAACACAGAGAACCGGTACTAATTTAAGTCACCTCTTCATAAAGTTGTTCTTCGGCATCAAATTATAATTCGCAGTATTTTAGCTTAACAGTTTCACACGTTCAAACCGTCATTCTGAATAATCACTAGCAATGATTTACATTACTCCGCCGTTGCGGGACCTAAGCCCGGTTCAGAAAGGACGAGGGTTGGAGACCGTGGCAAGTCTCCGTAAAATTTAGCCACCTGCCACTTATGGTATTAGCGCCATCGAAAATTATACCGGCTCGGTCGTCGCCCGGGTTACCAAGGGTCGTGCAGGCTGTTGCGGGACTGAGTCAGAGTGCCAAAAGTCGGCGATCAGAACCTGCTCACTGCCCTCTGCCAGCCGGAAGCGTAGCAGCATAACGACGGCTGACGAAGACCGACGGAACGACGTCGAAGATACCAGTTACCAACGGAGTCGCTAACATTTCTGAACGGAGGAGGCAGACAGCGCGATGCCATTATAGCACGTCAGAAAACGCTCCACGAGAACACCAGTGGGAGTTTAAAGTCGGAAATTGGAACATTTCCTCACTCAGAGGAAAAGAACAACTGTTAGTTGATGAGGCCATAAAGTACTAACTCGAGATTGTTGGACTTTCCTCAACGAAACGCCAAAGCTTTTGACTCCTGAACCTCAATGGTTGGAAGCTATTCTACTCAGGCGTCGATATCACGACTCGCGCTCAGGCCGGTGTTTTTGTTCTGGCAGAACCCACGGACAACCCCAACCTCACGGACAGAATTTTTGATTGGAAGCCTGTCAGCGGAAGGACGGCAATGCTCCGACTGAATCTACAACAGGCTAAAGCGTTGACTGGTATAGCTCTATGTGCCCAGTTTGGAGGGAGAATATTAGACCTTCCTTGAGGAAGTGCAATGTGCTCTGTCCGAAGTGCCGAATCCAGAGTCCCTCATACTGATGGACGATTTTAATGCGCACGTCGGAGTAGACGCTGAAAAGTGGAACGGCGTGATTGGGAAAAACGGCCCTAGCGACTCAACAATAACGGCATGAAGTTGTTAACGGTTTTGTGCAAACAGAGGATTGTCCATTCTGAACAGCGAGCATCAAAGAGTGAATCAATATACCTGGTACTGGGAAGCTTGTGCACAGAAGTCGATGATCGATTTGATAATCGCATCGTCTGACTTAAGACGCTCGGTAACGGATGTTCGCGTTAAGAGAGGCGAAAAGCTATTAACTGTTTATTACTTTGTTGGCATGTTACGCTGTAAGAAATGAAGTACCATACGAAGATCTGGTGGCAGAAACAACCAAAAAATCAAATGCAAAACATTACCTTAGGTGAACACAAGAGTGAAATTTGGAAATATCGCATGACGATTTCAACAGATCCCGGTGATGACAACTCATGTTGAAACCGAATGGCAGCTCTTTATCAGCGGCATACTCGAGGCTGCCGCCGAATGCTGCGGGTTTAAAAGGGTTGGCCTACGGCCTAGACCTTCATGGTGGACACGTGGTACAACGGGCAGTTGAAGAAAAGAAAGTAGCCTTCAAAAAATACCTTGCAGAAAACGAGCCTTGTACTCGCGTGCGATATGGTGAGGCACGCAATACGGCAGCTAAAGCAATGGCGAAAGTCAAGGCTGATTCCTGGGAGACGTTCGGTGAGGTGTTATTGTCGAATTTCCGCACCGCAAACTAGGTATTCTGGCAGACCATCCGCCGGCTATGAGGTGAAAAGAAGGGCAGTCCCAGAGTCTTGAAAGACGGGACAGGACAGCCTCTTACCAAGGATGATGTCATTTTTCGGCGATGAAGGGAGTACTTTGAGGAACTCCTTTACTCCGTGCACCCCACCAAAGGAATACTCCCCTGTAGAGCAACAGGAAACGGATATTACTATTTCTGTGAATGAAATTACAAAAGCTTAAAAAATGTAAAGGCTGCTGGAATTGATGAAATCCGCCCTGAGATAAGCAAGGCATTAGACGACCAAGGCATGTGGTGGCTTGCTCGTGTCTGTCAAACTGCGATGACTTTGGGAAAGACACCAGCGGGCTGGAGAACCGGAGTTGTGCCCATATTCTAAAAGGGAGACCACAAGGTTTGCTCCAATTATAGGGGCATAACGTTATTGAGCCTCCCAGGGAAACTCTATTAAAACGTGCTAGAAAGGAGGTGCCGTGAAATAGTTGACTTCAAGATCCAAGAAGAGCGGTGTGGCTTCCGGCCCGGTCGAAACACCTCTGACCATATATTTGTCCTGCGCCAGATTGTTAAGAAATCGTGCGGGTACGCCAGTCAGTTGTACATTTGTTTTGTTCACCTAGAAAATGACTGTTACGAAAAACTTGGAAACAGGGTGCAAACTCCTGAAATGGGCTTTCTTAGAGGAATCCTTGGCCTTATGCGTCTCGACATGGTCGGGAATTCTGACATCCGGAAGGGCCCTGGTGTACAGCGTTTGCTTCTCCAGATTGGGAAGTCACGGCTGCGATGGCTTGGGCATGTGTTGCTAATGCCTCGAGAAAGGAAGTCTATGGTACTGTTTCTTGCGACTCCGCCCGGCGGAAGGCCCAGGGGACCGCGAAGATTAACCTGGTGGAAATATATGAGAGGAGTCTGTTCCAGACTCCAGTTGTTATCTGAGAGGGTGTCTTTGCTAAGAGGGTGTTCAGACCCTGTCCTTCAAGACTTAGATTGCCATTCTTTTCACCTTGGAGCCGGCGGTTGGTCTGTCAGATAATCTTTTTTGCCATTTGGAAGTTCGACACCTCACCGAAACAACACATGGCGCAGCCACCATGATGAAATCATATATAAAATGATATCTTCGGGATGCATGTGGCGATAGCATCGCATATTAGTCGATTTTATGTTCACAGATATATGGGGGTTAAATCAAGCACCAATTCTGATAACCATCTTCAGATTATTTAGATTCAGTTCGTAAGTAAGTGATCACTCGCCGACATCGAGTGATCAATATAGTAGAACTTGAAACAAAATAGTAAACTCAGAGATCCACTGATAGGACGAAAGCTATGCATTATGTTGTGCAAAGTCGAGAAAGCTTGAATTTCGGAGGTTGAAACTTGCGACGACGTTAACCTTCGTTGATTTGAAGAGTTTGCGTAAACCTCAATAAAATCGTCAAATAAAAGTGCATTTGACGTTTTTGCACCTTCAAAATTGAGAAATTTAACAAAAATTTAGTTTTGTGCTCACAGTGAGCTTTTCATAGATATCTGAGATTAAGGATCAAATCCTGTGATGGATATAGACGATAACCATTTGATAGGAACTCAAACGTCTGGCTGCATGACTGTCACCTCGTGCAGCCACTACCATGGAATAATGAACTAATTTGGAAGTCATCGCGATTGACAATGACGTCACACTGCCCTCACAGAGCTTTCCATTGATACACAACATGAAGATGAAGTAACTAGTAAGGATGACTGTTTTCTAACCGGCTGGGGATTCGCAGGAAACAGGACAAGGAACCTGTTCACAAGGCCTTATTGGCAAGCACAGCGCAGTATGAGACAACGACTATTCGCACGATATATCATAATACTCCATGTTCATATACCGTCTTTCTTCAATTCTACTACGCCATCGATTGTAAAACGCACCTTCATTTAAGTATCTCCAACAGAAATAAAGCTTTGATTATAAGGAGAAAATAAAGCAAAACGACAGAACATTAAGAAATTTTTACTGTAAAAGATTTTAATTAACTAACAACAACAGTTCCATCAGTAAGTGTTATCATTACTTTCTTCTGAATCAATATCAGTCTGATTCTTCTGAGCCGTCTATTTCGTTGGTGATGCAACATTTTACAGATAAATGCTATACTGTTCGTTCTGTTATTAGACTTCAAGCTGTTGATACAGCTTCTGCTAATTTTGATGCTGGCGCTTTCTTAACTTCTCAAAAAAGTGTCAGTAGAAGGTTGTCAGTCAGTAACCACGGTTTATGTTCTTTTCTCAAGTGATTTTTAAGTGGTTTGCTGTGTAGCTGGATTTAGCTAATCATGGCGTCAAAAATCTCAAACAGTCACCCCGTTTTCACAAGATTTGATTTTTGACCTGCTTGGACATAAATATCCACGATATACATCAAGTGCTACCATGTTAAATGGGCTACGAAGACTTCGTTCAGGACGTCTGTTCCAAACAATATTCGGTCAGTCTTCCATAAGCTCTGCCGTCATCCATCCATTTTTTTTGGATAACCAAATTTTCGGTATAGCTTTTTGCTTCAAAATTAAATATGGTAGCAACTTTCGACCATCAGCGGTGATGCATTTCTACGCTGCTTTTCGTAGCTTGTGTTTATAATCTTAATTTCTTTAGCACCTTTAGCGCTGACGGTGTAATTTCGAGGCATATCGAGAAAAAACGAGGTTTCATATGGATTTCCAATTTGACTAAACTCAGAGATTCTTCGTTTTCTTAATCTGATCACACGCCGATGAAAGTTGATCAGCTTCTGCTAAAAGTCCGCAGGAAATGTTTGCCAGATAGATGTCAGACGCCTTAAAGATAACACCCTACGATGCACGAGTCTGTCGCAATAGCCGTGACAGCTTTTAAACCTTATTTCCTCTATTCAAAGGGATTTGGCAACTTCTCTGTCTTTCAGTTGCATAGTTTGCCGAATGATGGGTTATCCTTCTGCGCAAGTCTCCACTAAAAAACGTA